GAGGGCCCCTGGTGTTTTTGGCCACTGTGTGACAGAGTGCTGGACTGGATGGGCCATTGGCCTGACCCAACATTGGCTTCTCTTATGTTCATGATGAACAGAGGACCACAAAGCTGTAGTCTGGAAAGCTCCGAAGGAAGCCGGCCATGGGTGAGATGACTCTAGGTCACACACACACACACACACACCCCTCCAAGCAGCAGTGAGCCAGAGGAGGCGCTCCAAGCCCCCCCATTTCCTCAATCAACATGCCCGCCCCTCCCTCACAGGAAGCCCTGGAGAACCTGAACCCCACCCCACCCCCGGCAGGATCCAGGCGTTCCAGGCGACTTACTTGTTGGCACGGACCCCTTCCCGGCGACTCGCCAAGCCTTCCGCCACCAGCGACTCCGCAATGTTCTCCCCAGCTGCGTCTGGCAAGACAAGGAAACAGAGGTCTCACACACAGGGGAGCGGCAGCCCACGGGCCTGGGGGCAGCCGGGCTGACAGGAGAGCACCTCCAGTGTTCCCTCTAAGCTCGGGGGTCCTTCCCCTGCCCCCCCTTCCCACAGACCCCCCCCTCCCACTGCCTCCCAGCAACAGCCTCTCTCCCCCCCCGCTCCTTTTTCCTTCATCCAATCAGCCGCCTCTCTCCCTCTCCCCACAACCAATCAGCGGGCACCTCACTTCTCCCGTCTTCGCTCTTCCTTCCCGCCCGCCCCAGGAGCCCCACTTCAGGAGGGCCAGCACCCAACGTGCAGAAACCTGCAGAAACACCGAATCACCCCCCCCACACACTGCAGCGTCCCCCATCGCCAGAGGCCAGTCTTTAGACAGGGCCAGCCCGGGCAGGCTTCCCGCCTCTCCGGTCCAGGAAGGAGCTGGCTGGCCCTGCCCTGGCGCTGCTGGCTCACCCGGGTGCTTCCACGTTGCCCGGTCCCACTGGCACACCGGGGTCAGTGTTCCCTCTCAGCTGAGTTGAGTGTGAGCTAGCTCAGAGTTTCTTAGCCTCCAGCTCACACATTGTTGTCTCGGCTCAGGAAGGAGGGCTCCGGAGCAGACTAACTGATGCAGGAGCCCAATCACACACTCACAAGGCAGCTGAGGTGAGGGCTGTGTTTGTGGGGGGGGGTTGTCCCTTGGCATGAGCTGCTCCCCCCCCCCGTGACTCCTCGGCCTCTAGTGCCTGTCACCTGTTCACACTACCCGAGTGGAGCCGGGCGGGACTTTGAGCGCAGGGCAGTGACAGGGAGGCTCTGCGACAGGGGCATCACCAGCCCAGGACCATACGGATGGCCAGGGAAGCCGGACCCAACTAGGAAACTGCCCAGAGGGGGCTGCTGGCCTCCAGCCTTCCCAGCTCTCCCCACACACACACACACACACACACACACACAGCAGACACGCTGTCAGACCCACGTATCTCGTACCAGGATCCGCAGCACAAACACAGACACGCTCTCTGCGGGAGGAAGAGCCGCTGCTGGAGACTACAGCGATGCCAGCCTCTCCAGGCTGCAAAGACCAGAGGCCCTGGGGGGAAACGGACGCTCTGCAGGGTGGACTCCGTGGCATTACACACACACCCCACTGAGGGGTCTCTGCCCTCCCCCAGGCTCCACCCCCAAATCTCCGGGAGACTTCCAGCCAGGAGCTTGCAAACCTACCTACCTCACACCCTCCCCCAAAGCTGGCCAGGGAGGACCCCGGCAACCCTACTTGAAGAGAGGGGGCCTTTTCAGTGGCAGCCTCACGGCTACGTGACCATCTTCCCAAGGTGCACCCCTGGGTCCCACTTTCCGTCTTCAGGAGGCAGCTGGAAACTGATTTGCTTAGAATCGTTATTTTAATTCAGGGGTTTCACATGTTTCTGTTTTTTATCCTGTTTGCACTGTAAGCCACTTGGAGTTCTGGAAGCTAGAAAGGCAGCTAATAAATATTTTCCATAAATAAAGGCTCATGCCCACAGCAGGCGATAACGGCAGAGTCCAACAGACTAGCTCACAAGGGCATCTCCAGCGCAATGTTCATTGTATGCCTCTCCACCTTTGCCTCTGCTGCATCCCAGCATCTGCAGGCAACTACCTTGATTGCTCAGGGCATGCTGTGCTTTTTGGTTTGCATGTAATTTCTGTAATCCTTGCACTATTGTACCGCTGACTGGAGATCTTATTGTGCCGTCTAACGGAATCGCCTTCTAGATTTTACAGTCCACCTTGAGTCTCCGTGAGGAACACATGCTAGAAACTAAGTAAAATAAAATGGAAATACTTAATGCAAGGCAGGGAGATCTGATGTGATCCCTCCTGGAGACGGCCAATGCCCAGGGCAAGGAGGACGGCTGAGCTTGGGGCGAGGAGGGAGGCCGGGGAGGCCCAGTCGTGGTGACTCACCTCCGCAAGCAAGAGCCACAGAGAGAGACGGCTGCTCCCCCCTCCCCCCGGTCAGGTCAGGGATCCACCCCACCCCCCCACTGCCATAACACAATGGCCCGGTGGGCAGTTCCTTCACACTGCAGAAGACGCGACTGTGGCCTGCGGACTCAGCTCAGGCACACAGGGAGATTCTAACCTCACTTCAGCATTAATCCAGACACCGGGACGCTGCAGGCAGACGGTTCATTAAAAGATGCCATACGAATTAAAGCAGATCAAACCAAGCCTGAACGTGCCCTGGCAGCTAAAACAACTCAACGGAGACGACTGTATCTCGGTCACATTATGAGAAGACAAGAGGCACTGGACAGAAACAAGGAGGCGGCAGGAGAAGGGGAAGAGCCAACAGGAGACGGACATGACATCAAGGGAGCCACGGGGCCCTCCCTTTGCAGGCCTGGAGCGAGGCTGCTGACCGAGAGGCTGTTTCTGAGGCCACTCGCCCATAAGTCAGGAGCAACGTGATGGCAGCGCTCCACACACAACTGTGGCCAGAAGGGAAAGCAGAGCATTCCTCTCCCCCAACGTTTCGAACATAAAATCTGAGAAATTTGCGGGAGCACTGGAAGAAGCTCCTATGAAGCCCTTCTTCTCCCTTTCGGAATGAATGAGAGGCCTTTTAAGACAACGTTTTACTCACACGTAGCCTGGAAAAAAAACTTCCAGTAAGGTAACCGGCACGGTGATATAACGGTGATTCCTATGCATCCTGCAGGCATCTTCCACACACGTTAATGATGACTTTATTGCTTCAATGTGGGTGCTGCCAACCATTAATAAGCTTTAATGTGCCTGAGGAGGATCAATTTGACATCCAAATTTTACATCTCATGACACCAAAACCAAGTGCTGTACGGAAGGAGGAGGAGGAGAGGGTGTTTCTAAATGCTTAAAACGGGTGAACTGGTGTGAGATGGAAAGTTGTACAGTCCCGAAGTAACTGGAAACCCCCCCCCCCAAAACAAGGACTGAAACTACCTCGGGGGGGTGGAATCTGCAGACCAGGCTGGCCTGCCCCCACCCCCCTGGGGGTCCGCTCTTCTTGGCTCCTGGCCCTCCCCGTGGGAGCTCCCCCCCCCTTGCCCCCAGGGGGAGTTGCAGTACTGCACTCGTTTAAGCATGTGGGGGCGGGATGCAATGGGACAACTGGGCCAGAAGTCTCACTCCAGAGGGGACACACACACACACACACCTCCCTCTCTCTCTCCAGGCCACGCTGCTGAACAATTACTGGCTCCCTGACAATGTCACCTGTCAAAAAGTGACATTTAATTAAGGCTTAATTAAGGTTTTGAAAATGCGAGTGATTACTCCATCTTAATCAGCTGTTTTTATTTTTAGCACTCCTGAAAAAGGGATGCCTCCGTTTACTCATGTGTACTCCGAAGTTTGGACAAGCGGCCCCTGCAGAGCGGAGCCAGAGTCAGCCTGGCCCCAGAGGGGCCCCCCACGCGCCTCACACACACCCCACCCCACCCGGGGCTTTGGCCGGCTGGTCCCCCACGTGCTCCCCAGGGCAGGTCCGAGCACTGGCAGCAGCCGGCACGCCCACCCGTCCGCCCACCGTCCGAGCTCTGTTTTGCCCCTCCTTCCTTCTGGCCGTGCTCAGAGGCCCACCAGGCCCCCTGGTTGGCCGGCCGGCCGGCTGCTGCTCCTCCCAGGCAAGGCCCCACGGACTGGGCTTGGACACCCCACCCCCACCCCCCGCAGCACCCCCTCGGCAGACGACAGCCAGAGACCGCTCACGCCTGCCCAGCATGCCCTGGGAGTGGCCCCGGCCTTCTCACGAGGACACCGCTGTAAGCGACCAGCACGCCAGGTGGCTCCTTCCCACCTGCACCACACCGGCAGGTCTGCTGGCCTCCTCCACGGAGCCACCACAGAGAACGGCCACAGAGCAGACTGGGGAGGGGGGAAGCCACCCACCCAACCACCCACCAGCGGTGTAAGCCCGCCTCATTCCAGGCAGAAGGAAAGCAACCCGGGCCTCCCAAATCCTGGCCCAGCACTCTAACCCACGACACTCGGGGGGGGGGGTCTTTCGTGCCCCCCCCTCCCCGGCAGACTGCCCGGCAGCTGCTGCTTAAGTTACCTTTGCTGACGGATCCTGCAGCCCCCAGAGCTAAAGGGAGGGAAATTCCACCCTCAGCAGTCCCGTTTCTCTCTGGAACCCGCACCGTCCTTTCCTGAAACACTTCCAAGTCCAGCTCCCTCCTCGCCAGGATCAGACGCCCGTAGGGTGGGCCTAGACCCCTGAGCCTGCACTTGCCTTCCCCCTCCCATAAGCACATCTGGGCTCCCATCAGCTCCCGTCACATCAGTGACTGTACCGCACAGACGGCTTCTGCCCACACGTGGCGTTCCTCTTCCCACCCCAGAACCCCAAGGCAGCCAGCAGCGCCCACCGGAAAGCCACAGGGCAAGCAGCAGGGAAAGGATCCTTGCAAAAAAAACCCACCCACCCACGGCTGCCCAGGGACTCCTTTCCTCTGTGTGTAAGCCTTCCCTTGGGGCAGGGGACGGAAAGAGAGGGCCCTTGGCACAGCAGAGGGACAGTTCTCAACCAGGCAAAGCCAGAGAGGAGAGGAGGAGGAGACTGGATTTATCCCCCATGGCCCTTCACTGCCCAGAGGAGTCTCAGAGCGGCTTACAAACTCCTTTCCCTTCCCACCACAGACACCCCCTGTGAGGCGGGCGGGGCTGAGAGAGCTCTTGACAGAAACTGCTCTTTTTCAAGGACAGCTCTTGTCAGAGCTACGGCTTGCCCAAGGTCATCCAGCCAGGTGCCAGTGGAGGAGTGGGGAATCAAGCCCGGTTCTCCCAGATTGGAGTCCGCTGCGCACTTCACCACGACACCAGGCTGGCTCTCACAGGAGGCAGCAGGAGAAAAGGGACAGGAAACAAGTCAGCCCAGTCCAGGCCCTTTGGAGACACTCCCCCCCCCGAGCTGAATCCTTCTTCAAAGGAATCAACGACAGAAGATGTATGTCAGGCGGGGAGGCCCTTTGTGGACAGAGCCCTTTCCCCACTTCCGCCTGGAGACCACACTGGCCTGGGCCTCTGGGGAGGGAGGGAGGGAGGGAGGGGTGAACATGGCCTTTCAAACGGTTCAAGTGTAGAAACGTGGGGGGAAAGACAAACCGCCCAGGAGCTAAGCGGCAGGAGGGGCCGGCCAGCCTGCAACCTGCAGCTCCTGAGCCAAGTGTGGCTCCACGCAAAGCCAGGCAGGACTCTCGAAAAACAAAACAAGCCCTTAAAGGGAAGAGACAGCGGAGAAGGGGGGGGGATGCCCGAGCAGGCAACGGTGTCTCCGGGACCAAAAGGCTTCTGGGAGGAGAGGTCTGCAGAAGGGGAAGTGACAGGCGTGAGTCACAGCCAGGAATCCAAGCCCCAACCACGCACAGAGTTCTGCCAAAGTACTTAAACCATGGCGCACGGGTGCTCCTGTTTACAAGGGTTCCTTATCGTGCCCAACAAAAGCCTTTTGCAACCACCAGCCCCCTTATGGGAGACCTCTACCCACAAGGTGGTGTGCGTCCCCTTCCCTCAGGTACGTGCAAAAAGGGCCTCTCTGAGACTGGCTCCGGGCTGGCCCCTCTGCTCGGAGACCGTTTATGGAGGCCTCTGCCTCCTTCGTGAGAAAAGGCTGCTGACCCCTGAGCTAGAGGGCACGGCCCTGGGTGGCTTCCAGGGAAGAGGCTGGCACTCATTTGGTGGGGGAGGGGCTCACCCGCCCAGGACGGCCAACCTCCCACGGCCCGGCCGGTCCCACATCAGAGGGGCCGACCTCCCACGGCCCAGCCTCATCACTGTAGTGTTGGGGATGAGGGAGAAAGGAAGAAGCAAGGACGCAGTCGGCTGCTTTGGCTCCCCACTGGGGAGGAAGGCGAGACGGAGGTGTCTGAATACATCAGCAAAAAGAGGAAAGACCCGGCCGGGGGGCTCTGCTGACCGACCAGTCCTATCGCTCAGAACAGCACAGAAGGCAAAACAAGAACTCCATTGCAGGGGGGCCCCCCAACACACACAGCCCTGAGCCATGCCATTGTGGTGCTCCCAGCGGGGCCGGTGGGCTTCCGCCCCGATCTCTCCCCTCTCCGTCGCTCTCTCACCTTTGCCCAGGTACACCATCCCATACTCCCGGCCTTGCGGGGTCTTGTACTCCACCGTGAAGCAAACCTCCTTCCCGATGAGCTTCTTCCGCAGGAATTCGCGGGCGGGGAACCCCCAGGGCTGTGAGGAGAAAGCAGCCAGCTGCAGGTCACCGGCGGTGGGCGAAGCCCCTGCCCCGCACTCCAAAGCCCAGCTTCCGCCTCCCCTCCCAACGAGAGACCCTGCCGCCACAGAAGCCCCCCACCGACTCCCCCCGCCTCCCCAGGGCGGCGTGCTGATCTGGAGCTTTGCCTCTGGGTCGGGGGGGGGGGGCAGCTGCTCCCTCCCCGACTCACCTGCGGCCAGTGCTCTTGACAGCAGGCTCTGCTGAAGCATCCCCGAAACCAAGCCACCCGCAACCGGTCTCGCCTTGGAGGAGGAGGCCGACCCCCCCCCCTCTCCCGCACAGCCTGGCAGGCCCCGCACCCCCCCCCAACCCTAACCGCCAGTCAGTGGCTCATTTCTACAGATCAGGGAGTCTGAGCGGATAAGATCAGGACACACACACCCCGTCCCCCGGGTGGGCAGCCCTGTCTGACCGTTTCCCGGCCAGACGGGACACCTCAGAGGGCACGGCCTTCTCGTCCAGGAAGGCATGAAAAGGGGGGGGTTGTCTGCAGCACCTCGGAGCCTGCCCCTGCGCCTGACAGCACCACGTGTTCAAAGGGGACCCCCACCAGCACGCCCCCCCCCTCAGAGGATGGGCAGCACAATCCGGGGGGGGGGAGTGCTGGTCCAACAGCAGAACCAGCTCTTGAGCGTCAGCTCTCAATCCAGCGCAGAGCACTGAGACAGGGGTGCTGCCGAGCCCAGAGGCTACCGGTGGGCTGCTCTTTCCCCACAGGCCTCGCGGGGGCTTTTGCCGCGTCTGGCTTGCCCATCGGAGCCCCTCACACAACCGGCCAGGCTGTGAACGCTTGCCTGCAGCAAGAAAGAAGGCAGGACGGCTCCCGTGAGCCCAGCCAGAGGGGCTCTGTCTCTTGCACCAAGGGGTCAGCGACCTGGGCCCACGCCGCCAGAAGGCCTACCTCATCGGGGGTGTCCTTGCCCTCTGGCTGGGCTGCAGCTGCCCGGCGGGCGAGGTTCCCGGCTCGTATGTTGCTGAGATTGATCTGTCTCTCGGGAGGCGGCCCTCCGCGGGGCTGGCCTCGAACTATGATGGCACAGCCTGAGAGGACCTGGGGGTGAGACAAGAGCGTCAGGCGTTAACAGGCCCCACATAAAGCACCACAGCTGTCCTGCAGCCACAGATGTCCTGCAGCCACAGACCTCTCGCCCGATCCAAAGCCCAGCCAGACGCCTCTGGGAACCCCACAAAGAGGGAAGGAAGAGCAACCTGGGAAACCTTCAGGGGCCGGACACCTCCCCGCTGGTAGGACAGGGGCCCCGTCCCCCCTCCCGCCCTCGGAGGCAAGATTCCCCCTCCTTTAAAAATCTTTCCCTTTCTACTGACTGAGCCGCGCTTTCCTCTTCACTGAAGAGGAACAACTCGGGCGGCCTCACTCCTGTCCTGTCACAGGGCGGCATATCTTGGCTGTGGGCTCAGCCCTGGAGCCTGAGCGGAGGGTCGGGACGGGAGCCCCCTTCAACTTAAACAACTTAAATGGCACTCAAGGGGTTCTGAGATTCAAAAACAGCAAAATACTTTATTTAACAAAGAAAGAAAAGGTCAAGGGAAATCAGGGGTTGAAAATTTCCAATATAGATAACTCTGAGCTAAAATCATTAAGTACACAGACTTCAGTTCTTACGCTTCAGGCTAATGAGAGTTTCTTAAGCTATTCGCAATTAATTAAATCTTTACATTGAGAGGCTCCAGTACACTTCCTTCGAGTATCCTCTGACTCTTTTGGCTTCCAGAAGGCTGATACTCTCCCCTTCCAGGACCCAAACCCCTTCTCTCGAATCTCACCAGGACTCGCCTTGAGTTTTTAACTGACTCTTTCAGGTCTCCAAAGGCAGTTTCCGTTTCGAAGCACACCAAACCAGGGACCTCTCCACGCTTCAGAGCCAACTCCCTGTTTGACTGAGTGTCAGGAGGGGAAGGCGGCCGCAGCACACACGGGCGCCACTCCAAAGGGCCCAGCATTAAAGCCGCCACCCCCACCCACCCACCCCACTTCATGTCCGGCCTCCAGCACGACTCTCACACCTTTTCAGCCCCACTAGAATTCGGGGAGGCAGGGAGGGGGACGTGCCTTCTTCACTCCCTCTCCTCCCCTGGCTGAACAGAGCGAGCAAACAAGACTCCAGTCACCCGTTCTAAACAAAGTCCTGGATGATGCCCAGGGAGCATACAGTTAACGGGCACCGTGCTGCCGTTTCCGCTGGGCGGGGTCCTCATGATTAAACTACAACGCAGGCAGGCAGGAGGTCAGACACGAGGGCACACTGCAAAGCCTCCGACACTCCAGAAGACTGAAACGCGCACACACACAGGGGGACTGAGAGGAAGGGTGACTTCCAACAACGGAGGCGCAAAGCCAGGAGAGCCACACCACCCAGCAACAGACCCAGCTGCCAAATCGGTCCCCCACACCGTCCATTTCGCAAAATTCATACCCCACTTCTCTTCCCCTGTAAGGGCCACCAAGGCAGCTAGTGAATTAAAGCATCCAGTATGAAACCACCTTTTATGGATCAAAAACTGGCTAGTTCATAGAAAACAGAGAGTGAGTGTAGGTGGGCAATTTTCTCAGTGGAGGGTGGTAAGCAGTGGGGTACCGCAGGGATCAGTACTTGGTCCACTGCTTTTTAACTTGTTCGTTAATGATTTGGAGATGGGAGTAAGCAGTGAAGTGGCTAAATTTGCGGATGATACAAAGTTGTTCAAGGTGATGAGGATTGTGAGGCACTCCAAGGGGATCTGTCAAGGATGGGCGAGTGGGCATCAACATGGCAAATGGGGTTCAATGTGGCCAAGTGCAAGGTGATGCACATTGGAGCCAAAAATCCTAAATATAAATACACATTGATGGGGTCTGAACTGGCAGAGACTGAGCAAGAGAGAGATCTTGGAGTTGTAGTGGATAACTCACTGAAAATGTCGAGACAGTGTGTGACTGCAATAAAGAAGGCCAATGCTAAGCTGGGGATTATTAGGAAGGGTATTGAAAACAGATCAGCCAATATAATAATGCCCCTATATAAATCAATGGTAAGACCTCATTTGGAATACTGTGTGCAGTTCTGGGCACCACACCTTAAAAAGGATATTATAGCTTTGGAAAAAGTGCAGAAAAGGGCAACTCGAATGATAAAAGGGTTGGAACACTTTCCCTATGAGGAAAGGTTAAAGCGCTTAGGGCTCTTTAGCTTGGAGAAAAGACGACTGAGGGGTGACATGATCGAGGTTTATAAGATTATGCATGGGAAAGAGCAGGTAAAGAAAGAGGTACTTTTCTCCCTTTCTCACAATACAAGAACTCGTGGGCACTCCATGAAACTGCAGAGCGGTCGGGTTAGAACGGATAAAAGGAAGTACTTCTTCACCCAAAGAGTGATTAACACATGGAATTCACTGCCACAGGAAGTGGTGGGTGCTACAAGCATGGACGGCTTCAAAAGGGAATTAGATAAGCATATGGAGCAGAGGTCCATCAGTGGCTATTAGCCACAAGGTATAGCTAGGGGCTCTGGGGCAAGTGATGCTCTGTCTTCTTGGTGCTTGGGGGGGGTCAACAGTGGGAGGGCTTCTAATGTCCTGGCCCCACTGCTGGACCTCCTGATGGCACTGGTATTTCTGGCCACTGTGTGACACAGAGTGTTGGACTGGATGGGCCTTTGGCCTGATCCAACATTGGCATCTCTTATGTTCTTATGAAAACCATTAACACCAACCCAAAATGCATCATTACAGCAATTAGAAACCTAAGCTAAAAAAAGCGGCAACAGTGGGAAGGCAGGCAGGCAGGCAGGCAGGCTCAGGAAATGCCCAGCCAAACAGAGACGTCTATTCCTGTGGGTGGAAGATGGCAGCAAAAGGGGACGGACGGACGACTCTCCTTGGGTGGGGGGGGGGGAGAGTTCCACAGCTTTGGTGCCCTTTGCTAGATACACTCCCCTCCTGGATCTCAGGTCAAAATCTCTCGGGAGCGGAACAGAGTGGGTTTTGTGTGGGGAAAATCAAGATTTAGACCACTGTATAACCCTTACTCATTTGGTGGAGAAATACTCTGGTACCGGTGGGGGGGGGGGGGGGGGTGTTTTCTACTTTCCTTGACTTAAAAGGGGCTTTTGGTTCGATACCCAGGAACCTCATGTGGGTTAAACCGAATATGATGGGAACAGATAAACGAACACTTTTTCTTATCTGGAAACTGTACTCCCTCTACCAGTTGCCAAGAGAGACATGGGAACTCCAGTATATTAACACCTAAGATTTTGACAAGTTGAGGAGTCAAACAAGGCTGCATTCTGGCACCTTATTTATTTTTAATGATTTATACTCTTCTCTTTGCATGCAGTTGATGGCAATTGTCCTAAACTGATGCTGCAGTACTATTCTCAGGAAGCAGGTTTTCTCCAGGCCAGTTTGGATGGAGATCCAGGAGGTTTTTTGCCATCTTCTGGGTTGTGGAACAGGGGTCGCTGGGGGTGTGGGGGGGGAGGTATTTATGAATTTCCTGCCTTGTGCAGGGGGTTGGACTAGATAACCCCGGAGGTCCCTTTCAAGGCTTTAAGCGCCTTCTGTTTTCACATCTTACTGTGAGAACAACTCTTTCTCTGTACATTTTTTAGAAAACTAAAATCCTGGTGTTCTCAGGGTGCTGGAAATGTTTCAATGGGCACAGAAATGGTAATGTCATTGAACAAGTCAAACATTTCAAATATCTGGGAGTCCTCTTTCAATATAATAACAGCTGGACAAGCCGGAGGAAACAAGTAATAAACCAGGCTAAGTGTAACCTGTCCACAACTGCTGTGTTTTTCTATATGAAGGCCAATCAATTCGTCCCTACGGCTGCGTGTTTTCAGTGCCAGAGCTGTATCCCCAAACACTTCGTGGGATCCCTGAGTGGATGGGGCTCCTTTAATCAACATGTTGAGCAGATCCAGGCAATGTTTCTGCAGCATATCCTTGGGAGTGCCAAACTGCGTAAATGATGCAGCCATGTGCCTGGAGACAAGACAGCACTTCCTAGAAACCAGAGCTTGGCTATTGACCTTGAAATTCTGGTTACGCCTTTATTACTTTAGAAAAGAACCTGAGAGCTATATGTCCATCTGCTGCTGTTGGACTCGTTTACATCTAATTGGTCAACTTCAATACTAAGAAAAAATCAGTCTACTGGTATCTCCTTTGACTCCCTACTCATGCTAGGCAAATCTCAAATATTTAGAACTTTGAGGCAGAGGATCCTTGACACTGAAAAACAAACTCTCTGTTCCAGTACTACCTGCTCCCCTCTGAAGTTCAATAACACAGAAATGGGCTTATAGCCACCTATTTTTTTTACAACCTACAGCCCCATGATTAAGATGAGCGTTTATGCTTGCACGCTCTGACGCTTTACCATCTGCCGTCCTTTATGGTAGATCTGCAAATGTTCCCTACCCTAAAAGGACCTGTCTAGGCAGTAGCAGGAAAACAGAGTCGATTACCCACAGCTTGCTTAGTTGTGAATTCTATGACAAAATACGGGATGTCCTAATCAGCCCCCTTTTGATGAATAGGCACAGCTGCCCAGAAGAGAGACCAGCAACCTTCCATCTATCAGATCTCCTCCCCCATATCACCTTTGCGGTAACAAGATTTCTCTCTATTACTAGAGAATCATAGAATCAGAGTTGGAAGCAATGCTCCCTCTAAGCTGTGGAGTCTTGTGAGCAAAAGAATCTACTTTGCGAGCTACTGGCATTAAAGTTGCAAGTGAGCAATTTGGCTACTGCATAAATTGAGTTTGCTCTGGCGCCATCCTTCCTGAGCTAAGACAAAAATCTGTGAGCTGGAGACTAAAAAACTGTGAGCCCGCTCACACTAACTCAGCTTAGAGGAAACACTGGCTGGAAGGGGCCATACAGGCCATCCAGTCCAACCCCCTGCTCAGTGCAGGACCAGCCTAGAGCATCCCCGACAAGGGTTTGTCCAGCCGCTGCTTGAAGACTGCCAGGGAGGGGGAGGCTCACCACACCTCCCCAGGCAGCTGATTCCACCTTTGCACAACCCTGTCAAAAAGGTTTCCCTAAGATCCAGCCAGTACCCTCCCGCCCTTAATTTAAACCCATGATTTGAGAGTCGTATCCTCTGCTGCCCACAGGAACAGCTCCCTGCCCTCCTCTAAGTGACACGGCCCTTCGGATACTTCAAGAGGGCCACCCTGTCCGCCCTCAAAACCTCCTCTTTTCCAGACTGAGCCTTCCCAAGAGGTCCCTCAGCCTCTCCCTCACAGGGCTTCTGGGTCTCCAGGCCCCCGAGCGTCCTCGTCGTTCTTCTCCGCACCCGTCTCCATTCTGTCCACATTCTTTTTGAAGTGAGGCCTCCAGAACTGCACACGACACAAGCTGCTCCTTCAGTGCAGCCAGGTCCTTCTCAGCCCCCTCTCTGTCCACGTCAACCAGCCGCCCAGATGCTGTGAGCTGCCTGCTACCATCTCTAGAGGAGCCTGTTCTCTTCTTCAGGGGGGAAACTGAGGCCAAACAGGCACTGAGCCTTTCTGCTTTCTCTGTCAGAGTTTCCCCATTTTCACCCAACAGTGGGCCCATCGCCTCTTTTATCTTGCGTTTGCTCCTCGCATGTCTGAAGAAGAGTTCCTTGTTGCAGGGAGCCTCCCTGGCCTGCTTTAGCTCACTGTGAGCTTTGGCCTCTCCAATGGCTGACCTGCAGTGCCTAGCTCTGACGGTTAGAGAACAGAAGTTTAAAATTCTGGTGGGATGATTGTCTGTGTATATTTAAAAGCTGTGGCCATTATGTTTTCCCCCCTATGCCAATAAAAGTTTTGACTGACTAGCTGGTGCCATGACCAAGAAGCACCTTCTCCCCAGTTGCAACCACCCAAAACTCAGAAGGGAAGGGGGGCGCCTGAAGAAGCAGGACCTCCGATGATGACCGTAGCAACTGGGCAGCTTTCTAAGGGGGAGTGGGGTGGTCCCCGCAGGCACACGGGCTCCACACCCTCTGAGGCTTTGACGGTCAACACCAGCACCTTGAATTGTGCCCAGAGACAAACTGGGAGGCACAGTAAATGTGCCAGGACTGGAGTAGATTCATAGCATCATAGAATCATCTAGTCCAACCCCCTGCACTCTGCAGGAGCACAGCCGGAAGATAGCCCTACGACACACCCGAAATGTGGTCATCCAGCCTCCGCTTGAAAACGTCCAGCGTAGGAGCCTCCACCCCCTCCCGAGGCAGACTGTTCCCCTGCTCAACCACTCTGAGAGTTAGGAAGTAACGACTCCCTTGTAATTTCCACCCATTAGATCTAGTCTTGCAATCCGGAGCAAGAGAGAATCGATCTGCCCCGTCTTCCACATGACAGCCCTTCAAATACTTGGAAGACGGCAATCATGTCCCCTCTAAGCCTTCTCTTTCCCAGGCAGGCTA